GTGTTCATGTCCATCTAGGTTGTGAACAACTATTCTTGCTCGCAAGTGACTGATAGAGTGATCTTCGGTTCGCCCGATGACGACCCACCCTATCTAAGTGCAGAACAACAGAACGTAGAACTTGTTTAATCTAACATGATTCTCATTCATAAAGGGTAAATGTGTAATAACATGCAAAGCCAAGCTTTCAGTATATAACACTAACACTGCAATACACAGCCGCAGCTAGTGTAAACAGCGGTGCCCAAGCCGTGCATCCTCGTAAGCTCAGCGTCCAATAAACTCAGACAGTAATGCGAGACCCTCAGTATCACGCTCGCGAAAAGGATTCTCTTATACCGTGTATTCTTCTTAGATCTCGAGGCCTCAAGAGCCGTCCTGATAATACGTTACATAACGTTAGATTATAATTAATTAATGCAGTAATAATATAACGCATTTAAAAATTGCAGTACGTACTTGATTTCAGTCACTTGATTATCGATGTGCTTATTAATCTTCTGCCAAACTGTATCGAGCGCGCCGGTGGACGTCTGAAGCCACTCCAACACAGAGTGGGCACTCTCCACCCTACAGGAAGTTGTGTTTCCAAAATGTGTCACTCGGTTGGTCCAAGCCTTCACAAACTTCTCGCGGTGCACTAACCATGTGCCATCCACATACCGTATCACCTCTGGAGACTTCGAATATTTTGCGTGCAGCTCGGCAACGACATCGGTGTAGGCATCGAACGTACTGGCCCCTGCAATCGCCTTCCACGTACTGTGCGTGAAAATCTCCGAGAATTTCTTACTCTTCCCAAATAGTTGGTAGGTTTTCGCTTCCACATCCTTGTTGATGTGTCACGTGCAGAGTAAGTGGGCTGATTCAGGAAAATGCCTCTGAATAGGAGTGAGTAAACCCAACTCTCTGTCACTGACAAAAACATAAGGATATACGCTTTGGCCTATCAGTAGTCTCAACTTCTCTAGAACTCAGTCGTAACTGGTCTCTTTCTCGTCCCTGATGAGCGAATACGCAATTAGGGAGTTCTAGTTGCACGGCGTTATCCCAATCATCTCGACCAACGGCATATTGTACCTGTGCAAATGAGACCAAGAAGACAAAAAATATAATCAAATAAAAGTTTACTTAATCAAAAACACTATTTAAGATTCATACTAATAAAGTATGTATAAAGTAACATACTTGTTGGTTTTATACATGGAATCTATGCCGACATACCAGTGATATGTCCGGAATAGATTGATCGACGCAGGATGGGCCATGAATATATGCGTCAACGCTTTCGTGTTCGGATCGGATTCTGCATAAACTGTATACTCGCTGCTCACGGCCAAATGCATAAGCTGGGAAGGAACGTCTCTACCGTCGGAACTATCTCTCCGCAGCTTATTTCTAAAGTTATATACCTGTCACCGATTAGCGTTAATTATAATGATTATTATAATTTAAAACAAAAAATTATTATATTAATAAATAAAAAAGTATATTAATGCGATTAATTTGATAAAAAAATTATTAACTATCACAATAATGATACATTAGTAAATATAATAAAATTTATTAATTATTACAATAACTTTTACATTAGTAAATATAATAATACATTAGTAAATATAATAAAATTTATTAATTATTACAATAACTTTTACATATAAAAAATTACTAATTACCATAATTAACTTCAAAAAGTTAATTAAAACATATATTACAAGATATAAATATATATACCTGCCGCACATGAACGTTGTCTCTCGGATTCTTTTCCTTCAGCGCGGCCATAATTTTTGCCGGGGCGACCTGAGCGTCCATCATGTCACGAACAATTTTCTTAGATGAAGCGCTGAGGCCGCTCAACTGGCGATGACCCTCAGGATACACAGCAAATGCATGGTTATGGTAGCCTTTCTCTTCATTGCTACATTTACAGATCCTCCAGTATGGAGCGCCGGACACCTTTTTTACTTTGATCTCAAAATTGCAGCCGCAGTTATTCGTTTTTGTCTTTCTAGAATTTCCGCCTGTGCCTCTGTACCGTTCGCCTCTATGGCACTTCAAAAGTCTGACCGTTTTCTTTTTGTGGCTCGAAATTATTAATAGGAAAACATTCAGCATTGCCTGGTGTTTTTCAGCTTCAATAGCCTCCTGAGCACTATTATATAATGTACAGGTATTGAAACACAGACTGTAATCAACGCCATCTCCTCCAAAATCTTCCCATGACTCCTGCTATATAGTACAATATTTATATTTTTAGAACATAATAATTTGTAACTCTTAACACGATACTATCTAACGTCAATTTATAACATAACTAAGACTAATATGTAATATAATAATTTCTAACTCGTAACACGATAATATCTAACGTCCATTTTATATTATAATCAACATGTAACATAATAATTTGTAACTCCTAACACGATAAACGTCTAATTTATAGCATAATCAAGTCTAAAATGTAACATAATAATTTATAACATAATAATATAGTCCAATTTATAACATAATTATTTCGAATATATAACATAATAATTTTTTTTTTAAAAAAAAAAAAATGTCCGGCCGGCCGAACCGGACGGACCGGTTCCGACCGGTTTAAGCCGTCCGGCCGGCCGGTTCGGACATGGCCCGTCCGACCGGCCGTACTTTTCGGACGGCTTTTAGCCCGTCCGGACCAGCCGGCCGGACGGCATAAAAACCGTTCGGTTCCGGCGGCCGGACAGGCTAAAAGCCGTCCGGTTCCAGCGGTCGGACACAAAATTTTTCGTACCTCCGAATTTGACGACATTTCACCGTGCACTTTCCTCTGAAATGTTTAAAAAAAATGAAAAGGGCAAAATCGTCCAAGGGGGCGGTGACTATTAAAATGGGGGACGGTGAATAGTATTGTCCATTGGACTTTTTATTAGCCTAAGCATTACAGTAGAATTGTCATTATCTTACCCATGTTACCATTTATTAGATTATTGTGAGTATTATAAAATTTATTATTGTAATTTAAAAATATTAAATTTTTATTTTTATTTAGAATAGAATATTAAAATTTATATTAAATGAGTTGATAATGGGTCCCATATGTATTTAAATGAATGGATATGAATGTGAGTGTGTGTTTAAATGGAGAGAGAATTAGTGGAAATATAATGTAGAAATGATGTGAATGAGAGAGAGTGTAAATTGTAATTGAATGAATGTTAAGGAATGTGGATGCCTTAGGGCGTGATTGTATATGAATTGTACAGTAAATATTCCAATCAAAACTCAAATTTAACTCTACTTTAACTCAACTCCACTATCTCTAATATTATCAATATAATTAAATAATATCAACCAATCATTATTACACATCACATCAATTTTAATTCACTATACATCCACTCACATAATTTTAATTAACCATCATTTTCAATCATTTTGTCCCATTTTTCCATCAAATCAACTTTAATTATTTTAATTTAAATATTATTTTAATATATTCACTAACAATTAACCATACTATTTTTTTTTAAACTCAACTATAGTTAAAAAAATAACTAATTTTTTACTAGTTGAATTCATATCCAATCACCCCTTTAGTTGCCGGCAGTAGTACATGCCATTTTTTACTTCTAACTTTCTGGTAGGTACAACAACAACAAAGCATTGTTAGAGACAACTGCGAATTTACTGAAGTAACCCCATTATTTAAAAAGAAGATGACTCCGTTTCGGGACATTTTCGTTAAATAAGATTTCAACGGTTCTTTTCCTTGACTAGCCGTTACTCTTTCTTGTCCTAGAAGCCCAACAATCAATCAGGCACAAGATGCGGAAACCCTAATCAGAAAATCCAGTTCATATATAAACCGATCGATTCAATTTGTATCTTCACCAATTAATCATCAGTCACGCATTCCATCATCCCTCTCTCTCTCTCTATCTATCTCTCTTTATCTGATCTGAGATACGAAAAGATCTTCCTCCATCTGAGTCGATTTGAATTAACTGGTGTCGCTGTTTCTGAAGTTTGATATTTTTAATTTTCTCGAATCATATTACATACTAATCTTTGTTTTGCAGGCTTGATTCCGTTTATTGTTTGGTTTTTGCCTTTTTTTTATAGTTTTCCTCGCTGATTGTGCACTGCTACACACACCCTTTGTTCTAGATATACACACGTACCTCGTATTATTTTCCCTTTTGCTGTGTTTTTGTGCTGCTAACATATGGAAACAGGAATAGCTAACTTGTCCGCATCTTCAAACAAGACTAAATCGAGATGCCCGCTGCAAGAACAGCTTCTTCATAGAAGAAATTCACAGGAAAATGTATGTTGTATTCCCTCACCCACCCTGTTTGTGATTCACACACTGTTGCACGGAAATATAATTGTTCATTTGTTTGTGATCCATTTATTTTTTAAATAACAACTATGAATTTATGAAAATTGGCGTTATACTGTTTCTGCTTGTCATCATAATGCAAAATCTATTTGGTTCATACAGCTGGACAGGTTCATACCAAACAGATCAGCTATGGATTTCGATTATGCTCACTACATGCTCACAGAAGGGCGGAAAGGTAAGGAAAATCCATCTGCAGTCTCATCTCCGTCCAGGGAGGCCTACAGAAAGCACCTTGCAGAGACTTTCAACATGAACAGGACTCGCATTCTTGCCTTCAAGAACAAGCCTCCAACCTCAGTGGAAGCCATCCCCAATGATTTTTCATCAGCCGCTCATCAAGTCAAATCCGCCAAGCCACGCAGGCACATTCCTCAGGTTAAGATTTTTCCCATAAGCTTTTATTATAGTTTTTGATAAAGAACAAAGAAAGAAAAGTAAAAAAAAAAATCAATTTTTGACATTAGATAGTTTGTGGTGCAGACTTCTGAGAGGACATTAGATGCCCCTGATCTCGTTGATGATTATTATTTGAATCTGCTCGACTGGGGCAGCAGCAATGTTCTTTCGATTGCTCTTGGAAATACGGTGTACTTATGGGATGCTTCTGATGGATCAACCTCGGAACTTGTCTCGATCGATGAGGAATGTGGTCCGGTGACTAGTGTCAAGTGGGCTCCTGATGGGAAGCATATTGCTGTAGGTCTGAACAACTCAGAAGTTCAGCTATGGGATTCCACAGCTAATAGACTGGTGAGTCCACTTTTCTTCTGTGTTCCTATTTTGTCACTAGTTTTCTATAATGTTGTGTATCTCCTGTTTTGGCAAAATAGTTTTATTTTCCAATCAGCCATGTTGTACCTTTTAAAAAACTTTAGCAATATACTATGTTTTCTGAATTGCCTGCTAAGACGATGAATTTCTTGACCTATAGTCGAAAATTAGGATATTCAGCCACATAATATAATATTGGGATTTTTCGGTCCAAATGCTGCAACTCACATAAGACTTATCCGATATTTCAGAATCACCTGCTAAGATGATGAATTCCTTAACCTATAGTCGAAAATTAGGATATTCAGCCACATAATATTTGGGATTTTTCTGTCCAAATGCAACTCACGTAAGATTTATCCGATATTTCTGGGTGGATCGAGGGCCAATTCATAAAGTGACTTTGCACTTCACCTCATATTATATGATATCTGGAACTGATACTTAAAATCCACACATCAATTAGCTCCGAACCCTGAGAGGCGGGCACAGGTCCCGCGTGGGTGCCCTCGACTGGAACAACCACATTCTAACAACCGGAGGCATGGACGGGCGCATCATCAACAACGACGTGAGAATACGAGCCCACATAGTCGAGAGCTACGAGGGACACCAGCAAGAAGTCTGCGGGCTCAAATGGTCGGCCTCCGGGCAGCAATTAGCCAGCGGTGGTAATGACAACCTTCTCCACATATGGGACAGGTCAGCATCATCATCCTCCAATTGGCTCCACAGACTCGAGGACCACACGGCAGCTGTCAAGGCCTTAGCCTGGTGTCCCTTCCAAGGGAACTTGCTGGCAACTGGCGGCGGTGGTGGAGACAGAAGCATTAAGTTCTGGAATACGCATACTGGGGCGTGTTTGAATTCGGTGGACACGGGTTCACAGGTTTGTGCTCTCTTGTGGAATAAGAATGAGAGGGAGCTGCTGAGTTCGCACGGTTTTACGAATAATCAGCTGACGCTGTGGAAATACCCGTCTATGGTTAAGATGGGTGAGCTCACGGGGCATACGTCGCGAGTGCTGTTTATGGCTCACGTAAGTGTATTTTTGTTTGCTTCCAATGAATGAATCAATAAAATCTTGGATGTTTTTGTTTGTGAGGTTTTGGTTGTTTATTGTGTGGTGTGTGTGTTGTGTAGAGTCCGGATGGATGCACGGTTGCGAGTGCAGCGGGAGATGAGACGCTGAGGTTTTGGAATGTGTTTGGGACTCCTCAAGTGGCTAAGCCTGCTGCAGCTAAGACGGCGAATACCGAACCTTTTGCCCACTTGACCCGCATTAGATGAAATTCTTATTCTGGCTTGCACCTGTTCAGAGTTTTGTTTTTTTTTTTCATTTCATTCTTTATGGTGCATTCTGTTAATCAGAAATGTGTAATTTGTCTAACACTATTCTGCAATTATAACACATTTATTAAATCATACATGTTTTAACAATTTGACTCAAATCATACTAAAACTAAATCGAAATAATCGATTTATTTGTGCAATTAACTGAATTAACTTAAATAATCGTAATAGATTATTATTATATTATAAAGATATAATTAGTAGTTCTAATATATTTACTTAATATTTATATTATATTCGGATGAAAAATATTATATATATATATATATAAATTATATAATTTTATGTGTTTGATTATTTAAGTTATTTTCGTAAAATAAAGACGACATCGAACCAAACCGAAATTTTAAAATGAAAAACAGATAATCGAACCTAAATAAAATAAAAAATCGAATGAAAGTTTTATATCAGTCAGTTTTTCGCTATTTCATATGAAAAATATATTTAATATGTTAATATTTTTGTTTATTATTTTATATTGTTTATGGTTGAAAAAAATTGTGTACGGTCGATTTCGATCACTTTTGTAAAATATGATAGTCGTGTAATGTGTAGCATGTTGTTCTGTAAAGTGCAACGTGTTGTATTATAAGGTGCAACGTGTTGTATTATAAAGTGCAACGTGTTGATGTATAAAGTGCACTACTATAATTTTGGTACGTTACCATGATTATATATTTTGTGTGGATAACTGATGTGATTGATGTTAAAGTATTACATATATCCGTTTTTCACATTTATGTTGTGTGGTATTTTGGCAGGAGCTGTTGACGTTAACTGTGGAGTATGGTGATAAAGTGCAACTTATCGTTTATAAAGTGCAACTTGTTGTTTTATAAAGTGCAGTGTTCTGATATATAAAGTGCACTAATTTATATGATCACATATAAATTATTTGTTTTGTTAAAACTATATTTACTAGATATAATTTTATATCAAATTAACCTAACTAATTGAAATAATATTATTGTCATATTATCATGAAGTCTATTGATTGGGTAATTTTTTATGTGCATTTTAAATTTATAATAGATCAGGGTATTTTTTATGTGCATTTCAATTTTATTATAGACCGGGGAATTTTTTATGTGTATTTCAATTTTATAGACTTTAATAATATGTATGTCAATTAACGTCATTTTCATTTGTCTAATGATTTATATAATAAAAATATATCTAGTATTTATAATTTTTTATTTAATATTTTATATTATTGTTTATTGGAAATAAATAATATATGTAGATATAAGATAAAAGAAAAAATAAATACTATTGTGCATTTCGGTAGTCACTGATGTGCATCTCGTCCAAAATTATTTGCGTATTTTGCTGTGTATTTTTTTTCGTATGCAATCCAAACTAAAACTGAACCGAGCTAACCGAAATTACACAAATGAATAAAATAATTTATTGTTTATATTATAAAATATAATTAATATTTTAAAATTTTATTCATATTGCATTCTTCTTTAGTCTTTATTCCATAAAAAAAAATAAAAAAAAATAATCTTCTTATATCCTAATGCACCCATTGAATCCGTATTGCTTTACTTTACTACTTTCCTTTTGTGTTAGGCTAGAACTCTAGCTGGTGCAGTAACAGTAACAGGCAAAGGTCAATCTCAGTTACATATTTTATATACATATAAAAAAATATAAAACATATTATATTTTATATTTTTATAAATTACATATTTAGCCCATNTACTTCATTACTAAAACTCGAGATTTTAATTAGTAGAAGATGGGTGTGATATTTATTTCTCCAGTTTTTCAAGTGTGCGAATTATAGTTTTATAAATAATAGTATGGTCTAATTTGTAGATTCATGAAATACGTAGATAATATTAAAAAAATACGTAGTTAATGTAGCTTGAAAATGATTTTTTCAATTAGAGAAACCTTATTGCAATAAACCACCTAAAAAAATTTTGACCAGATATTTTTGTTCTAGACCTTATTTGCAAAGCCAACCTAAAAACATTTTGACAAGATATTTTGTTCTAGTTCTTTTCTTCAATTTTTGATTGTGCTGACAAAGAAAAGCATATCATATATTTACGAATGCATTGAAACTTCTTTGGAAACCAAATTTATCATCAAATTCTCAGTGGCTTCTGCTTATGAAAAGCTGGTGGAGGAAAAATGGAGAGAAGGTTAGATTTCCCTGAATGCAGCAGCAGCTCCTCTTTGAATATCAATACAACAAGAAAGAAGATCTGGGCTCTCAAAACTACTAGCAAACTTGAGCATTTTATATGGAAATGCTTCAGTAACACTCTATCAACCAGCAGCTCCTCTTGAGGCTTAAAAGCATTGACCCTATCTGCAAATTATGTGGAGCTGTAGTGGAAACCCTTGAACACACCCTGTTCCATTGCAGCAAGGCCAATAGTTTCTGGAAGCTGGCAGCTGTCTCTTTGGATGAGTTTGACTGTGACTCATTTAGCTTTAAATAATGGTGGACCAGGCTCTGCAGCATTAGGCACACTCCTTGCTTGGAATAGAGACTTACTCTCTCAGTTTATGTTCTCTGGTGGCTCTGGAAAGCCAGAAATTTGTGGGTTTTCTAAAATTTTTGGCTTTCTGAGTACTCCATTGCCCAGGCTGCATCTTCTTCTTGGCTTGAGTTCTTCATGTGTTATTTGCTGGGTTTGTTAGGTTAGATTAACTTGTTAGTGGCTTTTTTGATTTTTAGTGGTAGAGTTGCTAGGTTCTTTTGGTAAATGGCATCTCTATCTTTTACCTTGTACTAGTCTTTCTTAGTGCAACTGCACAAGAGAAAGGGTCGGGTGTTGTAGCTTCAGTCTATGCCGGCTTCTTAATCTATGTGCAGTTTGTGTTTCTTTCCCTTTTAGATCACTACTAGTATTCGACCTTGTGCATTTGCACAGATGTAAATAAAATTAAATATTATAAGTTATATTTATGTATATAATATAAAAATTATAAGTTATATAATTGTATTATATTTCAAACATACAGTATTATAAGTTATATTTATGTATATAATATTAAAATTATAAATTATATAATAGTATTATATTTTAAAATTTGATCATTGGTTAAAATAAATAGTACACACGATTTGATTGTATACGAATCACTATATTGATTGCATAAAATGCAATAAATATATACTTTTTATAATTTTGAGTGATCATGACCAATTAATTAGCTGAAAAATATTACATTTATTATAACATATGCTTATGTGATTTTAAGAAATTTTACTATGACATAAAAAAAAAATTAAATTTTTAATAAACAACATCTTCATCATATAAAAAAATATTGATTTTAGTGTAAAATATAATTTTATGTAACTTCATATATTATTTAGTATAAAATATAATTACTAATTTTAATATTAACTATTATATTATTCAATAAAAAATATAATTATTAATCACTTAACATAAAATATAATAGTTTTTGTCTTAATTAACCCAAAAAAATGTAAGGAAATATTTTTTTATTAATGAGATTGGGTGTATTAATACCACATAAATAAAATTTATTAGGTTTTATTAATGATTTGCCACATAGGTAAAATTTATTAGGTTTTATTTATTAGGTAAAACTAGTACATAGCTAGTGCGATGCAAGGGGTGCACAATTTTAAGGCTATTTATCCATGCTTATAATTATATACATGAATAAAGAAAAATGTACGGGATATATATAGTACGTGACCCGTGCGAATCACGAGATATATTTATTTGGAGAATATTATATTATAAGATGCAATATTCAATAAAAATTTATAATACGCAAGAAAATTATATAATGTTCAATAAAAGTTTTATAATATTCAAGTGGAGTCTTAAAGTCTCTTGTATATTAAGACTACTGACAAAATAATATTTTAATCAATGAGTTTCATTTCTTTTTAGCCAAATTGGGAATGTGATTTGAGGAGTACAACAAATCGATATATAGCTGACTTGCTTTTTTCATTGTAGTTTTTTTTTTCTTTTTCTTTTTATAATGAATTTAAAGATATTCTAAAATATAGCAAAAATTATTTTTTTTTTTTATTACATTTAGAAATTTTACTAAATATATACTCTCAATCTATGGTGTTAATCAACGTTTCAGTCAAAAAAATTAGGAATTTTTACCTCTTTTAATCAACGTTTAAGTCTAAAAAACAATAGAGTTATTATAAGTTTTTTTTTCTACATCTTTTAAAACATTAAATATGAGCATGTTAGGGCTAGATTGTAAAATAATTAATATATTATCTCTCTAAAATATTTATACTAATAAAAATTTAATTTTAGCATATAATTTATCCCTTGATATAAGAGAAAGTAACAGTTTTACTTATTGTTGTTCACCATATAATATTTAATTATTATTTTATTATATAATAAAAAAATATTGTTAAATAGTGTAGTAGAATTGTTATAAAATTATATGATTTTTTTTTTTACAATATGGATTTAATATTTTTTTATGATTTGATAATATAAACAAATCTATACTTAACTTTGACAAATAAAACAAATAAATACTTTAGTAAGTATTTAATGTATATACTAAATAGGAATATATTTGGCATAATCAAATACCAAATATAATCAAATAAGTCAAAGTGTACATTTTTATTTGCNANNNGA